AACCTGGAGCCAGCTGTACCCCCTTGGAATTCCACTATGTAAGCCACAGAATCCCCCTACTCAGTTTAAGCAGGTTTGGGGGGTTTCTGCCATGTGCAGGGTCCCATCCACGGGTCCCCGGGAGATCTCGGCACTCAAGACATGCGAGATCACCCAGGCCACGGCCGGTGTGAGGGGCACCTACCTAGGCAGGCATAGCCGGCCGCTGAGGAGGCCAGGCCCGCAGCCGTGGGGAAGTTGTTCTCCGAGGCGATGTGAACCTTGCAGCTGTGGCTGAGGGGCAGTGGGTCTTCCGGGCTGCCGCTCCTGCGCTTGCAGGCCAGACGGCGGACTACAGGGAGAAGGAGTCGGCGCTGGGCAGAGCCGCCCACCTGCCGTCGGCCAGCACCCTTGGGGCTGGCCTCCACCCGAACCTCTCCCCGTGACTTCCTTCTTGGGAGGACCCAGGCCCGGACTTGGCCATGCTGACAGGCGACCACGGTCCCTGGGGCATGGGACGTGGCGGGCAAAGTGGCAGCAGCACCATCTGTGCCCTGGACCCCTGCGGCCTGAAGACCCAGCAGCTCCGGGCCCCCACTCACTCTCCTTCAGGCAGGCCTGGAGGCGCGGCTGCCTAATGTCCTCCTCGCAGCCGTTCAGCCAAATCCGGTCCTCCGTGAAGTCTCTGCTGATGGCGGCCGTCGTGGTGGTTTTTAACTGGGAAGGGAAACGCAGGGCCACCTCAGGAGCGGATGCCCGCCAAGCACTCCTCTCTGAGGGTCCCTCCTGGTCACCCACCCAGGACAGTGGCCTTGCTGGAAAGCAGAGAGGTGGAGGCCCAGGCGGGCCAGGCTCGGTCAGTGGGGATGTCACACAGGCGTCCACTACACAGGGCACGACCTGTTTCCACGTTCCACGTCAGGGCCACTGGGCCGGGCACAGGGAATGAAGGACAGGGACCCCCAGAGGAGGACCAGGCGTGTGCGCACGATGAGCATTCCTAACAGCGGCGGGTGGAACGGACACCGTTCATTGGCGGCGGGTTTGTCGCTACCATTCGTAAACAAAAGTTCTGTAAATATTTTTGGTGTTTGCTGGCAGTCCACGCTAACCTGATCCTGGTGCAAAGTGACGCTCAGAGAGGAGTTGATGGGCAGGATCAGTTTCTCATCCCGCTTTCCCCCTGCAACAGACAACCCGAGGCAAAGCCAGTCAGTCCACTCGAGGGGCCAGCGGGGCCCAGCCCACCCGCCCCGCGGGCGGGTCCACCGCCCAAACCGGCGCCTCTGAATCCCAGTTTCCCCGTCCGCAGGCCCCCCAACACCGCGCCCCCAGGCCCGCATACTCACAGTACTTGATGACCGCGATGTTGACCGGCGCGGTGCAGGTCACCGCCACGACCGGCTTCCCCGAGGCCATGGCCGAGGAACCGCGCGACCCCAGCCCACGACCGCGGGCCTTTCCAACCCGCGCCGCAGCCGGCCGGGCA